CGAGCAATCGCAGCTGACAACGGGTCGCCAAGTAATCCAAGTAAGTAAGTAAGTAAGTGAGGAGAACAGGTCTATTAATTGCTAATAGATTACCACAAATATACATCATGTTTGTGACTCCTCCAGGTGTTGTGTTTTCTCTACATTCACATATCACTTGCAACAAAACCAATACGACCACCCATGTAAATTCGCAGGATGGGTCATGAACTTTTGATAGTGGCGTTATCAAAAGTTTAGACAGTAATAAGAACTATTGAGTTTCTGGTGATCCATCAGGTTGGTCAGTCGAAGAGAAGGTGTTGTCAGTGAAGCTAACAAAGAACTGAGCTAACCGTCAACGTGCCAAAATCCTGAGTCTTTGTGCAAACGATATTTCTCTTTATAAAAGGGAGCACAGCAGAAACAGAACCATTGAACACAGTAGGTGGTGTCGCTTACGCTCATGTGCTGTATAAATTCTAAATAAAGTGAAGGGCTAACCGATCGGTTATTTTTTGCCTTACGGTTAAAGGAAATTTCACTGTGGGTTGTTAGACAGCAATTAGAAGGGTAGAGAATGAAGAAAGAATGGATCACTGAATTTCAAATCCTTCATTAGGAGAATATAGTACCATGCCAGTATCGATCTAAGTCACAATGTCGAAGCATTTGCTCTCCAAGCACTCCATTCACCTACCCACCAATTCACTGCTTTACCAAAAGAAGGATGTGTAGGGTAGAGCTAGGTTTTCCACATCACCTTTATCGTAATCATAAACTTCTCGGACCGACAGACATACAAACCGACAAACCGACAAGCCGACAAATCGACAAACCTACAAACCGACACACCAAGTTACTGCTTTATAAATAAGAAGGATATTAATTTTTGGATTGATATTAAGAATCACTATCTATCTGAGACCGTAGATTCCTGTAAAACACCGCATTTCGTTGTTCTGCATAGATTCTCGTTCAGCAGAAGCCATGCTCCTTCGTTTTTGAGCATTCTTTTCTCATTTTTCGAGAAAAGTATTCGTTGTAGAAGTTCTTTGAGTAACTTCTGTTTTAATTTGTTTGTCTACATTGTAGTTACTTCGGGATCTCGGTAGTAGGCATTGTAACCGGGATGTTGTGCTGCTCGATGCCTTCGACAGCTACGCCAGCAGCCTAACATCTGTCGTATATGCCTTCTGCGGTATGCATTTCCTGGGATCATTCGTTATAGAGCTCCCAGTTGCTTTTCGAAATGTCTGTTTCTTGGCTTTCTAGGTTCAGTTGGTGTACGTGCGTCGTCGGCCGATTAGGGTGCGCCTACGTTGATGCGAGCAGCGTGCTAGACGAGTACCTTTTTTGATCGACGCTGCACACGGGACACGGATTGAATCTGAAAAGAATACGAGGATAATAAACTGAGCCTGAATTTTCAGATTTTTTTTCGGCTGCGCTCGTAGTTCTCCCAATCGGTTTTTGATTTTAAGCTGTCCAAGGTCATGGGACCGATGTTTGGTTCGTTTATCGCCCTGTATGGGGAGCAATTGCGAGAGCAGTCTTTGTTTTTCTGGAACAATTTGTATTTCGGGAAGACAGAGGGTTTGTTGAACGCATTGAAAACCATTTGGGTTCTCTCTCACTAAAGGATCCCAGCGGTTAGCGACGAGGCTACGTAGGGCGTGTACAGGTGACGGATAGGGGAGTATCGCCGACCAAATGTCGCCAGTACTTGTCAGAGAAGCGATAAAGAAAGATATAGAGAGAAGAGCAGCAGTGTTGGACGAAACTGCCGAGGCTGGAAAGAACACTCGCAAAACCCGACGGAGTTCTACCAATTACAACACCAAGATGACTTCCTTTCACCGTCCTTACGGAACAGTTACTGCATCTCGAAGGATAATGGAGAGTGTCATCCATGATTTCTATTCGAATCTTTTCGATAGCCATGTCTGCCTGCTCCCTATCTTACAATTAGGCAAGACGAGTACATCGCACCATCGGTTATCCCTTCCGAAATTCGACAAGCCATCACGTCGATGGAGAATTGTACTGCGCCCATTCCCGATAGGATCAAGTCAGAACATCTGAAGATTCTTCCACCCTTCGTCGTGGGAACTCTGGCTAGGCTCTTCACGCGGTACCTGTCGGAATGCAAAGTGCCCATGTCGTGGAAAACTAGCAAGGCTGTGTTGCTGTATAAAAAGGGAGATCCAAGCGGTGTTGGCAATTATTGCCCAATCTGCCTGCTGTCTGTAATCTATAAGCTTTCACACGCGCGGATTGGCATAATATAAGATGAGGGACAGCCAGGACAGTAGGAAGCAGGGTTTCGGGAAGAGTTCAGTACGATCGATCATATCCACACTCTTACAAGACTCATTGAGTATCGCGGTAGTGCAAAATGCCATTATGTCGTACGTTCTTCGATTTGGAGAGTGCCTTTGATACTGTCGAGGCAGAAGCGGTAATTGGAGCCCTGGGCAACCAGAGTAATTCTACTCAAAGAATAATAATGCTTCGTGAGCTCTACAGTAACTTCACGACCAGGATCTCTCATTCCATAAGAAATTCGTCATTACCCGAAGAGAGAGGTTCGAGAGAGCGATAGTATTTCCTTCAAACTTTTTGCACCGCTTTCGAGAACATCATGCGTCATGTGGAGAGGGAAGGCGTGGGAGTGAAGGTCGACGGCCGCTAATTACATCATCTCCGCTTTGCAGACAGTATCGTACTTATAACGCCGAACATCGAGCAGGCGGAACGGATGCTGGCAGAGTTTGACAGTGCTTGTGGAAAGGTCGACTTACAACTGAACCTAACGAAGACGATGTTCTTAAAAAACGGATTAGTGCCTGATGCTACTTTCTCGCTAAATGGAATGATTATCTCGTATGGTATGGTGGGTGGGGAGCATTCAAGTACAGTCAACATAATGAACGACCTAGCTCCAGAGCTGAGCAGAAGGAAACGCGTATGGTGGGTGGGGAGCATTCAAGTACGTCGAGTGAGTAGTGAAGGAGACAAAGACCATCCGGCTCCACGCTCACCTTTTCGACACCGCTGTCCTACCTGCTTTGACGTACGCCTCAGAGACTTGACTTTCTAAAGCAGGATGAGCATGCTGTCAGCGTTATGCAACGCGCTTTGGAAAGGGTGGTGCTCGTAATTTCCCTATACATGCAAGTGCAGAATCCGGAGTTCCGAGCTCCGTCATCGAACGAAGACCAGGGATGCCATTGATTACGCCAAGAAATCGAAGATCAGGTGAGCCGGACACGTTATACGATGTAATGATGACCGTTGGACTGGGGCGGTTACTGACTGGATCCCTCGGGACGTCAAGCAAACATCAGGACGGTCGCCAACGAGATGGTCAGACTTCTTCACGAAGGCTCTGAATGAAGGGAGTGCTGGACCTTGTTTTGAAACGAGGAATATTCACTGGATCACTCTAGCGCGCGACAGGGACGAAGGAGACGGTACTAGCTACTACTCACAGATTGAGTGGCTATGCAACCCGCGACTATGTAGGTGGCACACGCCTGTGAGAAGTGTTCTGGATCTTGCCAGGTTCGGTCATAATTTGATGTGCGTTCATCAAACCCTTGTATCTGTATTATTATCTGTTCTTTTTTTATTATTTACAGAAGTGGTTCCTCGGTTTACCTCCTCCCGCTCCGATTTTCTCGAATAACGAAGCTGTCGTGGGACGATCGTCGGGGAAGTCGAACTGTTGTTGTGAGAGTTTGTGCCAGCAGCTAGCTGTGTAATGTGAGGGCAGACGTTAAAATTCATGTTATGAGGATCCTTTTGATAAGGGAATTCAATCATAGGTCCAATCTGACCGGTTTCTTTTCAAACCCATGGCTTCCCGGATATAACCATAACACGAATCTAACCGCAGCCATTATCGCAAAAGGAAGGGACACATTCATGAGTGGGGCCGGGAAGCCGCTTTCAATACTCAGCGCCAATGGTACTGGAACATGGAGGATCGAGAAGCCATCCCCACTGCAAACAACATGTTTCTCAGGGACTATAACGACGGCTGGACCTGTTTCAACACTTGTGTTGTGATGCGATCCAATCGGGGATCAAAGGTACATTACTAAGAAACTTTTTTTGAAAACTTCACCTTTATCGCAACTCATCCTTTTGATGACAGAATTCAATCATAGGTCCGCTCTGACCGGCTTATTTTCAAACCGAGGGCTTCCCGAATATAACCAGAACACGAATTGAATAGCAGACATCGCAAAAGGAAGGAATACTTTCATCAGTGGGGACTTAAAGCACTACTTTCAATACTCAGCACCAATGTTACTGGAAGATGGAGGATCGAGAAGTCATTTCCACTGCAAACAACATGGTTCTCAAGGACTATAACGACGGGTCAACCTGTTTCAACACTTGTGTTGTGATGCGATCCAATCGGGGATCAAAGGTACCTAACCAGGGAACTTTTTTTGAAAACTTCTACCTTATCGCATTGAGTTCAGGTTGACACTGTCCTCATCGAGACAAGACTACTGTGAAGTTAACGGGACCCGAGACTGGTTCGCCGCGTAATTGTCTCGGTTAGGATTTTTCAGAAGAATTTCAGGAGTGTCAATTCGTTTTTCTGTTTAGTAAATCTACACGTTCAGGAACCGTCACAACAGTTCAGCCGGAAAGCAGACAGCCTGCCACCTATTCTATCGACGGCGATCCAATCAGGGATCAGGGGTAGGTTGTCAGTTGTTACATTATATTGCACCTTTTTTAGACCTGATTTAGGTAGGTTGGGCAAAGGCACAACCCTCAACATCTACTGCCGACATCGATACGACGTTGCAAGGCGCGCTCCCGAATATTCCACTCCGAAGATGGTCTTCCTATCAAAACGTCGGCTACGGAACATGCCAGGAGAAACCCACATGTTCAGAAGTTCTGCTTCCGGTCAAGTAGCGGCGTTTATTTGGTTCGTGAAGCAAACGGCGTATGGTAAAGGTGCACTACTTTGATTTTTCATGAGTCTTCAATCTACCTTTTGAATTGTTCACTTTTTAGGAGGCTCGTTTCGATGCGACAGCACCACGACGGGGGCCATCACGAGGATGGCGAAGATAACTTTTGTACAGGGTGACTGATGAGGAGTGTGTGCACCCAGGTTTTTTAGGCTATTTGTTGAATTCTTTCTTTTGTTTTTTCGATTGTTTTAGATTATTCTGTTTATTTTTGATCAGTAGGTAACTATTTTTCGTAGTTGTTTTAATTATTATGTAGCTTTTAGTCGGTAGCTAACTTCATATTTCTTGTGATGTTAGGGGGGTTAGGTTAATCGTTAGCTCACTTGCGTTGTAACTTTTTTTTTCACGCTTTTGCTCGAGGGGCGCAAAATACCTACCGTGATAACTACAAGCTTGTACATAGGAGGAAAATAGTTGCAGAATTTTGACAAGCATGCTAGTGTTCCCAACTTAGGCAGCAGGGGTACATAAGGGCTCTAGCGATGGGTAAGGCCAGATAGGGGAAGAGGGGAGAGCAAGGAGATGACAGTGTAGCTTCATACTTTTTGGATCGATTTGAACTAGTGTTTTTGCTGTGATTTCCCTGGGGCAATCCAAACCAGTGCGGGCAGAAAGTAGTCTCAGAAAGTGGGTAAGGTAACCTAAAACAAACATACAAAAGTTTAGTTGGGGGTTCCAGTCGGTTAACCTCGGGACTCCTACTTATTTCTGTCGACTCAGGTATGGGTATCACTACAGAAGTTGGGGAAATATGGGAAGAACTTTGGGCCACCATGGCTTACAACTTTTTGTAGCAATTTAGAGAACGTTAGTTTTGCTTGTTAAACTGTTGCTGTTGTCTTCCTTTCGGAGTGCAACTTGCGTATCGCGGTAGAATTTAGCGGACCAAGGGCTTCGCGTCGAAGAATAACGATTAGATAACTTTTCTTTAGGCTAGGTTAAAAACATTTCTCTAGGCTAGGTTAGTTTCTGTAACTCGCCTTGGGTGCTTACACTTGTCAGTTACCCTGTAATACCCACCCTAAGTTTTCCCATGTGAAGCAGAAGGGCGTGTCCCTTCTGAAGAGAATGTTCCCTTCCGCAATGAATCCCTGCGCTGTTTCCTACCGATGGACTCGACTTATCGGGGTCCATAGGTGGGGTGTGCCCCGTGATGTCGGGTGTCCCTTTGTTTAGCACCCTTCTTAAGTGTAACAGGGGTTGTATATTTGTGGGCGATGCTTGTAGTACATGGGTTCACGGATAGATGCTCAGAAGGGTTGTTTTTTGCCAACCCTAGATAGGTAGTCACCTTCTATGAGAAGCGCTGGATAGAAATCTCGATCTTATAAGACTACACCAGGCGATACACGGCGAGCGTTTTCAGTCTCAGCGAGTTTATCAAACACATGGTATTGATCTGCAGATTGCAAGACGTCGAGTGAGATTCGGAACGTCCATCACGCAACTTTTGCACAGCCATTGTACGAGATACTGTATGATTTTTTGTGAAATATACTTCCGCCTGACTACTGACCAGTGACTATTGGAGGTGGTCATGTTTAGTGTATGAGAAGGTAGCGTAGACATCAAAGTGATTATGGGCTCTGATCAATTTTTCTCGTTCGACAAAGCGACCAACCACAGGACATTCTGCAGAGCGGGGGATTATTGTCATGGAGAGGAGAAGGACTAGGCGCGTTATACAGCAGTGAATGGCTAAGTTGCTTAAAGCAAATGCGTGTTCATTCAAAGATGCAGTTCACGTGAAAAAAACGATTCCTAAGGTTTTTTCCAGGGCTTATCCTGTAACCCCCAAAAGTAGGCCAAAAGTAGCTGTCGGGTTGAAAAACAGTCAAAATAGGGCGTAATAAGGGACTCAAAACTGGCTCAGCCGACGGTTGTTAAAAAACTTTAGAAGTTCTATTTTTCTGAACAGGGCGATTTTCGCATTTTCTTCGCCACTTTTGCACTGTTCTGGGTTACCACTCCCATTACTCGTCCAAAACTGGGTAACCCAAAATGATCGTGAACCGTGCCTTTGAAGAACTCACCCATTTGGAATATTCAACGACACTTTTGGAACAGTTATCTATGCTCCAACGTTGAATTTTCAAGCAAGTCTGTCGGGCATAAAACGGGGCAACTTCGGAGGAGAACACCCTTACAATCTTCGATGCTGTTAGAGCTTTCAGCGTCTTTGGCTTCTTTCTTGAATGCCATGGACACTGAATCTACACTGCCTCTATAAGAGAAAAACCGTAAAAGGCTTCCAGTTTGATTTGCTTCAGAAGTTGCTCAGAAGTTTACAGGAAACCTTTCAATGATATCTT